TACCTTTGAAGATCACACGGGTTTATTAGGATGCCCTGTAGGATGTAATCAGCCTCCACAGACTGGCCTTGTTTGACTAGACCTCTAAAGAATAGCACAAGGCACACCCTGGCCACCAGTGCACCCCTTACCTGGCCTCACTTGACCCCTGAGCCACAGTTATCCTCTTCCCAGAGGGTGCCCTGGTTGTAGGTAGGAGTCTAGGTCAGGGCGTGTGTTGAGCTCAGAGCAGCAGCACCTTTTCTTACCCAGGAAACAATCTCTGCTCCTGGCCTCCCCCTGGGCATCCGGAGCAGACATCCTGCAAAACTCAGCTCACCTGTTTCCCAGCCAAAGCATTCGGCATGTTTCTTTAGCTTTTGAAACACCATTGATAAATCCCTTGTACACTGCCTCCCAGACTGTGCCTCAGCCACAGCAATGTAAGATCCTGACATGTTTGTGTGGCTTTGAGGAAGAAAAGAAGTAGAGAAGAAGAAACACAGAAACTGTCTTTCCCTCCTTTCATTTAAACTAGAGGAAAAAGGACTGGTTAGCCAGCAAAAAGCAGATGAGCAAGATTATAATGAGGGAAAAGAAAAGGAGGCCAGCCGAGCCGACAAGCCCCCACTAGACACACATTTCAGCCTCCTGAGCCCTGAGCTCCCCTGGACAGGCAGGAAGAGCCTTTGCCTTCCTGGAATGTGCTAGGTAAAAAAATCAATAGAGGACTCTCCTCAGCTGAAGGTGTTACTCGGTTTATTAGCAGGGTCTCCTGAACTGCTGGAGCCCACCAGGACCCAAAGACCTCATTACTGTAGTAAACACGTGTTGAGTGGCCACAGCACGTGGTTTTCTGCCAGTGCTGGCAGTACAAAATGAGCTTAGATGTCGTGTCTTCCCCTGGGGAGAAGACAGACCTTCTATCAAGGACACAGGGGCCCTTATGCTGTGCGCTGGGAGGATGTCCTAATGGAGTCGGTGACGGCTGCAGCAGCAGCACAGAAGAGACGGTGCCCAGCCCAGGTCTCTAGAGGGGAGGATGCAGGGGGCCATTACCTGACTTCTGCAAAAGTGGCCGGATAAAAGGAAGGAGAGAGGAGCTTAGGAGTGTGAGGGCCATTCCAGGTGTCTGAACAGCGTGTGCAAAGGCGCCTGCAATAGTATGGGGTGGGGCAGGGAAGTGGCAGAAGGATCTCTGGGAAGGGGAGTAAGCCAGCTTGGGGCATTGCCTGCAAGATTTGGTAAAGAACCTGAAGTTTATGGTACAGAGAGGCAATGGGCCCCACAAAAGGTATTTCTGGAAGGTAATTATCTGAAAGCAGAAAGATCAGTCAGAAGGGTCTGCGTTAGGGCAGTGACAGAGGGGATGCAGGGAGGGAATGAATTAAAGGGATGTTTATGAGTGGAATTAACAAGATATGATGAACAAATAGACATAAAGAATAAAAGAGAAGGAAGAGGCAAGGCTGATCCAAGTTTTGGGCTGAGGCAGCCTGTGCTTGCTAGTGTCTAGTTTGTGCAGGGCACTGTGCTAGGCACCATGCAACACTATTTCACTTAGCTTTGCAACAGCTGTTGAGGCTGGTGGCCTGTCCTCATTTTACATGATGAGTCCAGAGCCTCCAGGGGCATCAGGAGCTCCAAACAGCTACGAAGTAGTGGGAGGAGACTGTGAGTTCTGATTGTACTTCTAACTAGACCAGTTGAGGACATGTTGAGGTTTGAGATGCTGTGCAGACACAGACATCCAGGAGGCCGCAGTGAGCATGCTACCAATGCTCCTAGGGAGAATGCAGGTAGAGGGGGTTAAGATGCCAGGGCAAGTGATACTTAAGGTGGTGAATAGATAAGATTTCTGATGGAACGCTCCTAGGAAGAGAAGAGAACCCTGAGGAAGTTTCATGGAAGATGAATCAACAAAGGAACCTGAGAAGAAGCATTCAGACAAACAGGAGGAAAGTCAGGGAAGAATAGTTAGAAAACCGAAGAGGAGAAGACTTTAGAAAGACCAGAGAGACTGGGCACAGTGGCTCACACCTGTAATCCCAGCATTTTGGGAGGCCAAGGCAGGAGGATTGCTTGAGCCCAGGAGTTCGAGACTAGCCTGGTCAACATAGCAAAACACCATTTCTACAAAAAAAAATCTTTTTTTTTTTAATTAGCTGGGAGTAATGGCACATGTATGTGGTCCTAGCTACTTGGGAGGCTGAGGTGGGAGGATCGCTTGAGCCCAGGTGTTGAGGCTACAGTGAGCCATGTTTACATAACTGCATTCCAGCCTGGGTGACAGAGTGAGACTCGATCGCAAGCAAACAAACAAAAAAGACCAGAGAGGCCAACCTTATCAAACGTTACACGGATGTCAAGGGTGATATCTGAGAAGTATCCACTGCTTTGTTGGTTACATGTTTTACACTGGCAACCTTCAGAATTCAGAATCGACTCTGGTCATCTCCTCCTCCTCCTCTCCCAGATAACTGTCCCTGAGCCTGGATTCGACAGTGTTCAGCACAACCAGCTCCCATGTATGTTTGTGGGATTCTTCATTTACCATCTGCACACACACATACACCAGAGCACAAACTCCCAGAGGGCAGGGACTACGTTTTGTTCATCACTAGTTCCCCAGCACCTAGCACCATGCCTGGCACAACATGAGCACTCAATAAATATAATTTCTTCACCAGTTCACTCACTGAATTGGTGAATGACCATCTGAAGCCAGCACTCTGCTCTGCCTCAGTTGTTCCCAGGCACTGCTCTGCTTCCTCCCCCTCTCAGCAAAGTCAAGGGCGATGAGCACTTGCTGTTTCTGGGCACCAGGTGATTAGTGGGCAGAGCTGCCGCAGCAGCGTTACTGAAACGGTCTCAGAGGCTACCGCTGACCTTGAGCCACCTTTCTCTGTGCTTGGCTAAGCACTGAGTCATTTACTTGTTTTTGCTGCCTTTCAAGCCTGGAGCCGTGGGTTTAGCACAAAGGAAGACATGATGGTTGTTTTGTTTATGGGGAATTGATTTCCCTTAAATAATAATGTAATGGGTAGTCAGCACTGCATGGTGGGGTGGTGATAGGGCTGTGGAGGAACATGGCAGAGGGCTTCCAGAGTCAACACCAGGTCTCTCTGAGCCTTTGAAAAAATGTTTTTCTTATAAACACTGGCTGCAGAGGAAAGACTGTAGTCTGAAAGTCAGGAGACTGATGAGCCCTGGCTGAGCCACACGCTGGCCATGTAGCCCTGGGCAAGTCATTCGTGTTGTCACTTAACATGTGCTGCTGCTAGGCATCTCTCCTCACCTTAAAAATGTGAAGATGGCCTCAGTTCCCCTCCAATGCCACTGCGGGTAGTCGCTACTGCTGCAGGGGGCAGGGTTAGGGAGAGGCACCTGCAAGCACAGACATGTCCCGGACTATGACAGCCCCCTAGAGCATTTGTCCCTGGAGCTGGGTCCCATACCATCCTGCAGGGGCATCTTGGTCAGGACCCCTCTTGTTCTGGTGTCCGCCTGGGAAGCTAAGACAGAGGTTTGGAGCACAGATTTAGGGGCTCTACAGATCTGGGTGCAGTTCCCTCCATTAGATGCCTGACCAATGGCAAGTCCCTGAATTGCTCTGAGCCTTGGTCTCCTCATCTGTACAATGGGAGGCTCCTTACCCAAGGGGGTCTCATGATGATGACAGGCGATAATATAGGGAAAGTGCTTAACGTAAGGCCTGGCACAGAATGAGAGCATGGTAAATGCTAGCTATTATAATAAGAAATATTACTTATGGCTTAGATCCATTCATCATGAAAGTCCCCTCAAAATAAGGAGATTGTACAGACCCTAAAGATTTTTACAAAGCTTCTAGTTGTAGAGATGAGGAAACTGAGACATTGAGGGAGAGGAAGGACTGGCCTTAAGACCCACAGGCAGGAATATTGCCAGCAGCCAGGTGTCCCAACTCCTCTGTGGGCTGGATCCCGATGCTCCAATCCCCAGCTCCTGCGGGGGCCCTGGCTGGGGCAGATTCCAGCCTGGAACACCCTCGGCTGCGGGAACCCTGGTGCCTGTGTCACCAAGGCGCCTCCCCCAAACACTGCCCATGTGGAAGGCAAGCAGTACCCACAGGGCTGCCAGTAGAGGCCTCTGTCCACAGCAGGCACTCAGCAGAGCCTCAGGCAGGACTTGACCCAGGTCACGTCTCTGCTCTGGGCCTGTTTCTTTAAGTGGAACAAAAAGGTCTTTAAGAACCTTCCAGTTTTTACATTCCCTGATTTCAAGAACTGGGTTCAATTAACCATGCAGTGGCTAGAAGTCTCAGTTAACTGGAATCTTTCCCAGAAGTTCCTTCCCTAGGAGAAATAGGCAGAGCTCAAGAAAGTAATAAGCATCCGCTGCCTTTTGCAGTTCTTCCTGGTTTAGCGGGCGTTTGGGCTCATTTCACCCCCTTGGCTACTCCCCCACGTTCCTGACCAGCAGAGTGAGGCTTGGAGCTGCCTGAGGTTTTCCCAACCAGGGCCAGAGCTCAAACTGCAGGTGAGAGTCAGCATCGAGAATAGTGGTGTGTATGGGGCACAGGCTCCACAACAACCCACCCACAGGAAGCACAAGCCAAGACAGAAAGGTTTGGCCAAGAACGGAGCCCTGGATCAGGAGCCCAGAGGCCTGAGATAAAGTCTGCACTCTCCTCTGTCCCTGACTGGCTCGGCCTGGGGGCCTGTCAAATGAGGTGACTGGATGGCAGCTCCTCACCCTCCCAGAGCACCCAGCACGTATCTCTTGGCCCTGTACCCCCAGAAGACACAGATAATGCCTTTGTTTATCCTCATGTCTTTCTAAATCCAACCACAGACCAAAGCAGAATAGGCTTTCCAGAAATGTTGAAGGGAAGGAAGAAAGATGGAAGGAAGTGGGGGAGAAGGGGGAGGAGGGAGGGAGGCAGGCTGCCAGGCAGGTGGGCTGAAGTCCTGCTCCCAGCACTAACATCCTACGTTTCCACAAAGCTAAGTTCTAAGGCAGTTCACCAACAGTGTCTCTTAGACATAGTCCCATTTTGGTGGAAACACCACAGGGAGAAGCAAAGGGAATTAATGTCAGACGAGAAATGACATGTGAACCCCTCTCTTCCTAAGCCCAGCTGACTGCCCCAAGCCCAGGCCCAGGGGTCCGCTGTGGGAAGTCACATCTTCATAGCAGAAGCCTCAGTGATGCTGGTGTCGGAGGCCACAATTCGCTTCTCTCTGCTAAGCTCACCGCCTCACATGTCAGTGCTTTCCAGCCCAGAGGCTACGGTTCCAACTGAGGAACACGATGCAGCAGGATTCTGCTGGATTCATAGACATGAGAGGAAGAGGTCTTTATAAATAACTCCTGGTTTAAATGGAGCTGAAAATAGGGAGACAGAAGAGGAAGCCAATTTGCTAAGCACTTATTGAGTCAATAACATTGGCTTGGAAGCCATAGTGCAAGTGGCTGGTCTGGTTTATTTCCTTCTCATCAAAAAAGCTAATGCAGGATTGAACCTGGAGGCACCAAGACTGCGTGTGTGTCCAAGGATGTGTTTGAAAGGGTAGTGTGGCGCTTCTCAGATGATGATGTCTCAGCTAAGACATGACACAGGCCTTGCCTTGTATTAGGTCTCTAGGTGTCACGGAAGAAAATGTCGGGTGGGGTGGCTTGGCTGTTAAGTCCCTCGACCTCTTAAGATATGCTTTCTTCACTGGAAGGTCTAGTCACTGGGTTGGCCTCTAAGCTCTGAGATTTAGATAGAATTTCATAGCTAAGTCTTCAATATAAAACTCAGGAACCAAAAGTGTTAATAAAATCTCAACTGTGCTCATGTGTCCTGTGAAGTGTCCTGTCTCCTCCCTCAATTCCATTCTCTGTAGGGCCTTCCTTCCGCTGCAACAGGGGCCTGCACTTTGTGCTCTCTCTCGGATGGCAAAAGTTAGTGGAAATGTGCTTGATTCACTTGCAGTCCCCAGAGCCCCTGATCTTGGGGTGTGGCCCAGTAGCATGCTAGCCAGGGCAGGTGGAGGCACCCTTGGGGGCCAGGCCAGGAGGCTGAGAGCTGACTCTGCCCCGGTACCTAACCCTGCCTCCCCTCCCCAGGATCCAAGTACAAAGCTGAACTGTGGAGAAAGGGACAGCCTGAACGCCAGGCTCCCACACTGCCTGGCTCGGGGCTCCGAATTCCACTGGGAGGGACAGCAGGAGAGGATGTGCCACTTGCTGGGCAGCCTGGCAGACCGCCATCAACAGCAGCTGCAGGTGCCCGTGTGCACCCGAAGGATGCCTCGGCTGTGCAGGTGCAGGAAGTTGAAAATCTCGGAGGGCATGGCGTGGAAGCCGGGACGCGGCTTGACATTGTCATAGTAGTGGTGGGTGATGTAGAGGCCCGAGGGGTTCATGGGGAAGGCCCAGAAGCCAAACAGGTGCACCTCCTCGCACAGCTCCAGCGCCGCGGTGGCCAGAATGAGGCCAGTGCTGATGCGCTTGGCACGCACCCCCAGGCTGAGCCAGTAGCGCGACACGTTGACCAGGTACTGCGGGTGGAAGTAGTAGACGGCCTGCGGGGACTCGAAGTCGTCCAGCACGTACTTGACGCGGATGGACACGTCGGTGTTGCGCGTGTTGTAGAAGGCGGGCAGCAGCACCGACGCGTTCTCGTACACCTGCAGCACGCGGTAGAACGGCCGCCGCCACTTCTCCAGCTTGTGGAACCTGCGCGGGGCGCGCGGGAGAGGTGAGTTCCCACTTCATGCTCCCAGGCCCCTGGCTTCCCCACCCGTGCACCCTAGGGCTTTGCAAAGGACAGAGGGACTCATAAGGCCACCTGCCTCCTCACACCTCCCGCACCTGTGCAGATGAAGGTGAGGCCTTTCTCAGGGGCAGGTGAGTTTTTGTAAGTGAGTGCAGGAGAGGGCAATCGGGATCCAAAGGGACAGATATCCAGGGTGTGGCTGCAGCAGGCAGGGCAATGCTGAACGCAAAAGGATGAGGGTGGCCCAAGGGAGGCTCATCAGGGAAGTGGTTGCAGGAGAGGAGGCTTGCTCTAGAGGCCTCAGGCATCCACCTGTCATCCCCAAGATCCCCAGGGACGAACCCCAAATGTGGCTGCCTGTCCTGGCTCTGACGCTTCCTCCGCTGCAGCCTCCGTTTCTCTCTCACACACCAGTGTGGTGTTGTTTATAGAGACAGGGTCTTGCTCTGTCATCCAGGCTAGAGTACAGTGGTGCAATCATAGCTCACTGCAGCCTCAAAATCCTGGACTCAAGCAATCCTCCCACCTCAGCTTCTTGAGTAGCTGAGACTACAGGTGTGCACCATAACATTTGGCTTTTTTAAAAAAATTATTTTAATTTGTTGTAGAGACCAGGAGCTTGGTTCCAAGTTGGTCTCGAACTCCCGACCACAAGCCACACTCTGGCCTCAGCCTCCGCCTCCCAAAGTGCTGTGGTTATAGGCATGAGCCACCACGCCTGGCCCCGCTTCTTTACATTAAGCAGCCTTCCCTCTTGGGCCCTCCCTCACCTTTCTGAGCACTCCTTCACTTAGTGACTTTGCTGTCTCTTCCCACCCCTTAAATAGCTGTTCCCTGGGCGTCTGATCCAATTCAATGACTCCCGTCCTCTCATCTCCCACTGTCCCCTCCTCTTACATGTCCTCTGGTCTGGTTGGTGTGACTATAACCAGGGCTAGGGTTTTAATACTTCCCTTAAAACCTTCCAGATGAACCCCAGCAGGGGATCCAGGAGGGGAGCTGAGATCTCAGTGTGAGCTTCTCTCCAGTACCACCTGGACACAACCAGGTAGAAAGCTGCCTGCCCTGGTCACACCCTGGAAAGCTGTCCCACCCATCTCTAGGTGAAGGTAGTATAGACCAGTACCATCCAAAAGAAATAATGCAAGCCATACAGGGAATGTCCAATGTCCAAGTAAGCACATGTGAAACAGTAGAAATGGTGACATTTTTATATTTTCTTTCACCCACTATTTTGAAAATACCATTACTTCAACATGTGATTAATATAAAAAGTTAATGAGGTATGTTATCCTGTGTTTCGTATTTAAGTCTTTGAACCCCAGTGTGTGTTTACACTCACAGCCAGCACATCTCCGCCTGGACTAACCACACTGCCAGTGCCCAGTAGCCCCATGTGACTATTGGCTACCGCTTTGCACAGCGCCATTCTAGAAAGAGGCCACTGACCTCTCTGTGATGATGCTGGGGTTCACAGTGACCACGTCCGTCTTCACCCCCACGTCCATGGTGTACTTCTCTGAGATGGGGGGCAGGTTGCACCTGCAGAAGAGAAAAGGCAGCCTGAGCACAGGTGGCCGGCCATTCAATAGGTCAAGCTGGGGAGTGAAGGGATGTTGATCATGTGGGCAGTGGGATGCAACGGCAACCAGCCTGGCGGGTTCTCTGTGGCCAGGTGATAAGACAGTGGTCCTTCTGCTCCATGGCAGGCACTGGGACAGCCAACAGGCTTGGCTGAAGTTCCAGATAAATGCGGCCAAGAAACCACAAGTTGTAAAATGCAGTTACAGGCTTGGGTAGTCCCTGGACCTCTGGAAGATGGGATTATGGCTCTCAGAGGACAGGTGGCAGGGGAGCATCTCCTTTTGTAGAGAGGCAAGACTTCCCCGAGGAAGCAAAGCTTGAGCTGAGGTCTGAAGGAGGAAGTGAGCACAAGTCCTGTGGCAGGAGAAGGGCTAACTAAACATGGGATATGTTCAAAGATACATCTTAGAAATGCAACACATATTGTGCGCAAAAGCAAGTCGCCACCATTTGTAGAAAGTCCCATAGTAGGAAGAGTAACAGCCCCCAAAGATGTCCACATCCTAATCCCTGGAGCCTGTGACTATGCAGCCTTATGTGGCAGAAGGGACTCTGCAGCTGCAATTAAGGCTCTTGAGATGGAGCCATTGCCCTGAGTTATCTGGGGGAGTCCAATGTCATCACAAGGGTCTTTATAAGAGGTGATGTGACAACCAAGGAGAGAGAAGAAAATAAGTGGCAACAGAATTGGAGTCAGAGAAAGAGACTGGAAGATGCTCCACTGTGGGCTTTGCCATGAGCCAAGGAATGCCGGGAGCTTCTAGGAGCTGAAAAAGGAAACGAATTCTCCCTGGGAGCCTCCAGAAAGGAATGCAGTTCTGCAGACATCTTGATTTTAGTTCAGTGAGACTTCTGACCCCCAAGACTGTAAGATAACAAAATGTGTTGTTTTAAGCCACTAACTTGGTGGTAATTTTTTATAGCAGCTATAGGAAATGAATACAGCCCCAAACAAGCATGGTTTAACAATATATTGTTCAGGGGTACATCTACATGTGACACAACAATTTTTAACAATGAGAGAATGATTACTAAATTCAGGGTAGTAATACCTTTAGGGTGAAACAGAGGTAGAATGGGAAGGAGCACACCAGTTGACACAAAGGCTTGATACAAACATTCAACTTTTTAAATCAAGTGGTTGGTTTACAAATATTCATTTTATTGTTTTGCTTCATACTTATGTGTTACAAATATTCTTCACATCAAATGCTACATAATGAATGAATGAATGAATGAATAATAAATGCTGAAATAAGCAGATGTTAACTAGGTGAATGTGGAACTCATGAACATTCCAGACACAAGTCCTGTGCAAATGTCCTGTGGTAGATGAGAACAGGAAGAACCCAGGAGTGACTGCAGCCCAGTGACTAGAGCACAGGCAAGCGGGGAGTGGCACAATCTGAGGGCAGAGAGGGAAGAAGGGGCCAGACCATAAGGGACGGTGGGCCTTGTGGAGAATGTGGCCCTTCATCAAGGGGAAGCCATGGGTTTAAGGAATAAACGTGCAGAGCCCTCTACAACAGGACTAGGACTGTCACCTACTTTATGATCCAAGCACACCATTGTCTATCAGACCACTATAAAGGCAGGTTTTATATTCTCCTTAAAGATTGGGGAGGGGGTTGTCTGCAGTCAATTACCATTTTTTGAGCACCTGTGACATGCCAGGAACGTTCATAGGATTATGTGAGACATCAAGAACCTCGAGTGGCAGATATTAGGCTCCCTGTGTTGCAAATGGGAAACCAGGCATTCAGAGAGGTCAAGGGACTTGCTGCTACTGTATTAGGTGGTCAAGGCAGGGTGGAGGACAGGTCGGTCTGACTCCAAGTCTAGGTCTTGTTCCCGATGCAATAGCATCCAGTACAGATATGCCTGGAACAGGATGGAGTCTCGGGGCATCTTGGTGTGCACACACAGGCACCCAGCGAGCCTTTGCTGCTGCTGCACTGCGATGACGATGATGGTGATGAGGATGGAAAGGCCCGCAGCATCTCCAAAACCAGCTCAAACAACTGCATGCTCTCACAGATCTTAAGTGGTGGGACAAGAGACCGGCCCCTTAGAGGGAGAAGTTTACTGTCACATTACTGAGCTAGGGAAATGATGTGATACCGCAGAAAGGATGCAAAACCAGAACTGTATTCCCATTTCTGACTATGACTAGCCCCGTGATCCTGGCAAGGAATATCATCCCCCTCCAAACATTTGTTTTTCATCTGTAAAATGAGAGTATTTTAAAATATCATTTTTTATAATAAAACTTATTATGTGTCCTACACTGTTTAAAGATTTTACACATATTAATTCATTTATTCCTCATACTGACCCCAAGGGGCAGGTACTATTATCATCCTCATTTTTCATTTTAGGGAATAGAGGCAGAGTGGTTAGGTAACTTATGCAAAGTAACACAGCTTTTTCTAACTCAAACCAGGCTGCCCAGCTTCAGAGCCTGTGGACATAACCACCATACGCCCCACTTCTTAGCCCTGAAAATCACGTAAGTCCATTTTTTCATTCACTCCTTCATCTCTTCATTTAAGACTCAATTTCTAAGTAGTTATGTTGTGTCAATTACATCAGTCACTGTAAACAGAAGTTCTCTGTGTGTTTCCAATCTGCAAGCGTGAGACCACCCAGCTGGTCCCTGGTTATAGGGCTGGGTGTTAAAGGCCACATGAGAGGTGGACACCAAGTTGCAAGGGAGCCCAGAAAAGGGTACAAGTGGGGATGGCCAGGGAAGGAGTGGATGATTCCTGAGCTAAGCTTGGAGAGACAAGTGGTAGTTGGCAAAGCAGGATGTAGGGGCTGGGGAGACAGCATTTCAGGCAGAGAGAACGGGGCCTGGAAGGGCAGTGGCTGGCTTTAACTGGGCTCTAATGGTGTGTCCAGTGCTGGAGGTACTAAGAGCTATACAATCATTAAGTCATTGAATCCCAAAACTGAGGGATCTGCTATCCTTATCCTCATTTTGCAGATGAAGAAACCAAGGCCCAGAAGAGTAAGAAGGCATTCCTGAGGTCATGCGCCTAGCAATGCTGGAGCCTGGATCGAAGTTCAGGGAGACCCCCGAGACCTGGGCTTCTCCCGAAAAGACCATCTTGAAAGAGGCTTTCTTTGTTTACACAGGTGAGGTTAAAAAAAAAAAAAAGAAAGAAAGAGGCTTTCTGGCTGGACGAAGTGGCTCGCTCCTGTAATCCCATCATTTGGGGAGGCCAAGGTGAGCGGATCACCTGAGTTTGGGAGTTCAAGACCAGCCTGACCAGCATGGAAAAACCCCATCTCTACTAAAACACAAAATTAGCCAGTGTGGTGGCACATGTCTGTAATCCCAGCTACTTGAGAGGCTGAGAATCGCTTGAACCTGGGAGGCAGAGGTTGCAGTGAGCCGAGATCGCACCATTGCACTCCAGCCTGGGCAACAAGAGCAAAACTCTGTCGCAAAAAAAAAAAAAGAAAAAGAAAGAAAGAAAGAGGCTTTTCTTGCCTCCCCTGGAAGGAACGTGGATGGCTAAGGATTCAGTAATGGCCAGAGATTTCCGTATTGGAGGAAGCTTAACCTTCAATGTTGGACTCAACTAGGCATCCACAGGGAGCATGTGGGCAGACTCCAGATCACAGAGAGAGGAGCGTCTCTCACACTCTGCCTGTGACAGCGGTGACGCAGGGTGTCCAAGGCTTCCTTCTTCTTGAGACAGAGTCTGGGGTTGGACAGTCAAGAACCCAAAATATGCAGGAGCTGCCTTTATTTTAGGACCTCAAGTCACACCAAACCTGCTCTACCCTCCCCAACCTGACACCAACTGAGAGGCCAGATGATTGTGAGTGAGTCCATGCTTCATGCAACCCCACTGCAGACTCAACCCAAGTCTCTTTGCTTTAAGCTATTTTTTCTTTTTTCCTTTTTTCTTTTCTTTTTTTTTTTTTTTTTTTTTGAGAGGGAGAGAGTTTTGCTCTTATTGCCCAGGCTGGAATGCAATGGCCCGATCTCAGCTCACTGCAACCTCTGCCTCTTGGGTTCAAGTGATTCTCCTGCCTCAGCCTCCCAAGTAGCTGGAATTACAAACATGCCACCACACCCAGCTAATTTTGTATTTTCAGTAGAGACAGGGTTTCACCATGTTGGTCAGGCTGGTCTCAAACTCCTGACCTCAGGTGATCCACCTGCCTTGGCCTCCCAAAGTGCTGGGATTACAGGCATGAGCCACTGTGCCCTGCCTAAGCTCTTATTTTCAACCCACCTTCTTTACCCAAGCTAAAGAAATAAATGAAGATCCACAAAGAGATAAGAAGGGGGCTAAAGAAGCATAAGGAAAAAGTACAAGGACCAATCTCTGGCTTAGTTCGAGTCAGGGTGAAGCCAATATTGGTGTCTGCCACAAGGCTGCCCTGGTTCCAACCAGTGCTTCTGGAAGGGTAGCACCCAAGAAGACAGTGCCCAGAGGACCTCCTGACATGGCTGCAAGCTCCCGAGTCCTCGGTGCCTTCAAATCTGTGATGCCCTTTGCTCTTGACACATCTCCCATTGTGCAGATGTGGAAACTGAGGACCTGACAGTTCAATGACTTTCCCAAAGAGATGGGGCTGCAGAGAGGAAGGGATACCCCAGAGCTGAGGGTCTGCAGGGGTGGGGAGTGGGGATTAGCTGCTTAAAGGGTAGTATTAGGGCACCCGGGGAAGAATATGGAGGAGGAGGGACATGGGGTACTGGCAAGGGCAGAGCCAGGGTTTCTTTTACCGGAAGACGAAGTCGGCGCTGTTGATCTCCCTCCCGCAGCGGCTGTTCTTCAGGATGCCTCCGTTGCCCACCACGGCACACTTCTTAAACTGGGACCGGTAGTAGGGCATGTCCTGGGGGAGGCACAGGCACAGCTGTCAGAGCCAAGCCACCCCCTGCCTCAATCTGCAACTTTCAAAGCTACCCACCCCTATTAGCTCCTGGCCCCGAGAGGCAGCCTTGTGGAGAATGTGGGAGGAAAGCTGTTTTCCACTTTACAGATGGGAAGAGGGGTCGAGAGTCTTGTTACTATTAGACGGCTGCAAAAGTCACCTCCATCTCTGACGCCCAGGGCCTGCTGGGCAGCTTTCCTCCTAGCACATAGCAGCTGGCAGCCTTGCATGAGACAGGCTAGGCCTGCAGCCTGAGCTTTCAATGGGACCAGCAGACAGGCGGGTCTCGTGGAGAATCATGCTGCCCTGGGACCATCAAGAATAAGCCTAATGTAAGGGGGACTTCTGTGGGAGACTGTCCTTATTCATGGTCCATTATCCCTGGACAGACAGGCCCAGTGTGCCAAGACAGGGAAAACAAGGACATCTCACAGCCAGGGGCTGAGTAAACGGCATCATTAGACTTTTACCAGAGAAAGGGAAAGAAACAGTCATTTTCGGAAAAATCATCAAAAGTTTACTATGTTCTATATGAGTGTTTCCTAAACTTTAAGTTAAGAACTACCTGGGCTACTTTCTGAAAATATAAATTTCTGGACTCCATCCCAGTGCCATGGAATCAGAATCTCGCAGATAGGAGGCTGGGAAGCTGAATTTTTTACAAACACGAAGAGATACTCATATTTAGGGAAGTTCAGGGAATGCTATTCTACGTCACACTGCTCTAATTCAGGGACAAGCGAGCCGCACACAGCCCGTGGGCCACATCTGGCCGGCCGTCTGTTTTTGTGTAACTTGCAAGCCAGGAATGGATTTTATATTTTTAAATGGTTGGAAACAACCCAAGGAAGAAACTATTTTGTGATACGTGAAAACTATGTAAAATTCCAATTCCAGCATCTAATAAGATTGAACGTGTTATTGGAACATTCTCATTTGTTTACTCATGCCTATGGCTGCTTTTGTGCTAGAATGATAGAGGTGAGTAGTGCTGACAGAGAGAATATGAACTGCAAATCCTAAAACCGTTACTGCCTGGCGCTTTCTGGAGAGAGTTTGGTGAGCCCTGCTGTCTGTCCCTGGGCCTCAGTGGTCCACACCCTGGCTCTCCTTGGATGTGTATGTCATACTAAGCTGTGTTACACGCACGGCATTACTACCATGCCCAGCCGGTATTTTCTTATTTTCTATATTCCTGATGCTCTGGCACCTGGTGCCTTGCTAATTCCTAGTTAGCAAACAACTGTCCTGCAAGCTCACCTTTCCTGTGAAAACCAACCAATCAGAGCCCACATCCTCATTGACTGCCTACTATCCCACCTGCTCACCCCTCCTACCGCCACCCTAATCACCCCAGGGCCAGGTATCCGACAATCAGAAGCAGTCCCTATGCCGCCGAGCCTGCGTTAGATGCAAGCCCACCTGCTGTCACCAGCCTCATGTCCCAGGCCTTGTAAAACTCACCTTGGAAAGGTGGCTCAACACCCTCCTCCAAGGGCCGCAGTGGGTGAGAACACGTTTGACACCTCTTACCTTCAGCTCCCCCTCCATGTCCTCAGAATGTACACTGTGGTAGCAGTCACAGAATGCAGGAAACTCTGGGCTTTGTGTCATTAGCAATCAGCCAAGAAGCAAGGCAGACAAGGCCTTCAGATTTCATCCAAAAAGACCTCCACATGCCCCTACTCAGAATTTCTATAAACTGCATTCACTAAGTGCTGCCCTGGGCCCAGAGCTCTCCCGGATGTGGTTATGAACACACCCATGCAACCTTCCTCCTCTTCAGAGTCCGTACACTACCACACCTGGGTAACGACCAGAACTGGCTGGAAGTGCAGGCTCCAGGGCCCCTTCTCTGAAAGTAGCGCGGTGAGACTGCACCAACGGTCAGTCCGAGTGATTGCAAGTGCTCAGCATCAGTGATCTGAACCGTTCACATCTGCGGCTCACTCATCCTGCGGTCCTCAGTGGGCAGGGTCAGTGCTCCAAACCATTCAGGTCTGCGGCTCATTCATTCTGGGGTCCTCCATGACCAGGGAGCCACCGAGCCAGCCCTGCACAGCCTACCTCCAGACTTCTTTTATGTGAAAGGAAAAAAATATATATATATATCTTGACTAAGTCGCTGATATTTTAGATGTTCCGTCATAACCGGTCAAACCTATTCATAGTCCAAACCCCAGTGTTTCAGATAAGGAGACTGAGGCTTTGAAAGACAAAATATCTGCCCAAGGTCATCCAGTGAGCTGACCTTGCAGGTCCAGCTCTGCACTGTGCTTTCTTGTGCTCACAACCTCTGCACGTGTTTTTGTTCTTGTGCCTACCTCAGATGGGGGACGAATGTGTCGTCATTCGTCTCTCATATCTGCAGGGCATCCTCTGAAAGCAAGGCAATACCCAGAATTTTCTAGCCACTTTCTTGCCAAAAGTCACTCAAATCATAGCCAGTTGGCCTTCATGGTTCTCAGATAGAACTCCCAAAGAAGCCCAGCGGGTGGGCTACTGCACCTCAGACAACTCTTCAACCAGGACCTAGACAACTGAGTCCAGAGGACGGTGAGTGGGTCGTATGAAACCACACGGGCATGCCACGGAGGGCTACGGCTGGGTCAGCTCCCTCGTCTCCCCCAGACCACCCCTGCCCAAAGCAGCACCTTGGGAAACATGCGGAAGATCTCCTGGTTGATGTGGTAGATGCCGCTGGTGTCCACCTCATACTTGAGCTTTGTCCCCAGGGGAGTGTTCTTCTGGGTGGTGAAGAGAAAGGCAGGGGCATTGCAGCATCTGGACAGAGTGGACCTGCCGGGCAGGGAGACAGGCAAGAAAGACCTGACGCAGGGCAGAAAACAGCCTCATAGAGAACGGAGGGGTGGAGCTGAGGCCTCTCCTGCCCACCCATTCCCATGCTCATCCCCACCCTGCATGAAGCTGAAGCCTCTCCTGCCCACCCATTCCCATGCTCACACCCTCCCTGCATGGAGCCGAGGCCTCCTGTAATCTCCCAGAGGCCTCTGGCTCCTGATCTTCAAATGTTATCACTTTAAACATTCACATTTCTGAAAAGGTACCTCTTAAAACCTTGACTCTACCATTCCCATGCTTATCCCCTCCCTGCATGGAACTGAAGCCTCTCCTGCCCACCCATTCCCTCACTCGCCCCTGCCCTGCTCCTCTGCTCCTGGTGTCCCCTCCCTTTTCCACGCCTCTCCCAAGGCCCCGCCTTCTGCCTCTCCTGACCACTCATTCAGGACCCAGGACAGGTTTCTCTCTATGAAGCCCCACCCCACTGCCCCAGTCTGCACTGACGGAACTCCTCCACTGAGCCCGAGTCACAGCCACCAACAGAGAGTGAGGAGGAGCTTTCCGAAGAGCTCCCAGTCAGGCCCAGCATGGAAACTTGGGTTCCTGTCCTGGTGTCAACAGGCCTGGATTCTCCTGTCTACTCTGCCCCCACCAGCTGTGAGGCTACGGGAAGGGGTCTCTCTCCCGGCCCTAGTTTCTTCATGCAGACTTGGCTCTTCTATCTCTAACCCTCTGTAATTTGTGATTCCAGCTTGCCAAAGTCAGGAAAGTTTTATTTATTTATTTATTTATTTATTTATTTATTTATTTATTTATTTGAGACAGGCTATCACTCTGTCGCCCAGGTTCGAGTGCAATGGCGCAATCTCGGCTCACTGCAATCTCTGCCTCCCAGGTTCAAGTGATTCTCCTGCCACAGCCTCCCAAGTAGCTGGGATTACAGGCATGTGTCACCACACCCAGGTAACTTTTTTTTTTTTGGTAGAGTCAGGGTTTCTCCGGGTTGGCCAGGCTGGTCTTGAACTCCTGACCTCAGGTGATCCACTGCCTCAGCCTCTTAGCCTCCCAAAGTGCTAGGATTACAGGTGTGAGCCACCATGCCCGGCCTATAATTTTTTTTTTTTATTTTATCTCTGTAGGGACTTCATTGGGAAGCCCATCTGGCTCCCAGTCACAGAGAGCAGAATTTCCTGTGGAGAGCTGGGTTTCAGAATGTACCTGAGGCTTCCCAGAGAGGAAGCCAGAGGCTGGGCAAGGCAGGGCCATGGGTCAGCATTACAAACAAGCACCTGGGCCTTTTAGCTTTGCTAGTCCAGAAGCTCAGTTTTGTCAGCCCACTGAAGTGCACTCCCATTGAGGGAGACTGACTCATGCTAACCAAGCTCATGACCGGCGGGTATACAAACCGGAATGTCAGCATGCCTATTTGTAGGCAGCAGGGTGGGAGAAGGCCTCAGTCACAGGCTTCCTTTCCTTCGCTGGAATGCTAATGCCTGCCTTCTAGCAGCCACCTGCCACTCCCTCATGGCACCAGGTTCCTGCCAGCCTGAAGGAAGGATCTCATCTTTGTTCCATGAGCTTGAAATAAGAGCAAAGAGAGGCAACTGACCTGCCTTGAAGGTTTGCTCACTTAGAGCATGGCAAGTCCTGATGTCACTGCCTTTTCTCACACCTGAAACTGCTCCACGCCCCTCACCCCCGGAGCTCCACCCCTGCACTGTGCTGTCTGGTCCCTGCCAAAGGCTCCCACACTCATCCCTGTTTTTCTCTTGCCACATTATTTCTCAGTTGCTTCATGTTTCCTGAGATATGTGAGTCTCACGGCTGAGACTTCTATTCTGCCCTGAGCCTGGACAGCAGGCTTTTGCCTCTCACTGACTTGATCTGGGCTGAGTGTTTTGTCGGCCATACTCTCAGTGCGCCAGGTCTCACTTGCCCCCAGGACACCTCTGTGCAGTGTGCATGGCAACGTTTCTCTCTCTCTCTTTTTTTTAGATGAAGTCTCAGTCTGTCACCCAGGCTGGAGTGCAGTGGCACCATCTCAGCTCACCACAACCTCCACCTCCCAGGTTCAAGCGATTCTCCTCAGCCTCAGCCTCCTGAGTAGCTGGAACTACAGGTGTGCACCAAAAATTAACCATGCCAGACTAATTTTTGTAATTTTTAGTAGAAACAGGGTTTCATCATATTGCACAGGCTGGTCTCGAACTCCTGACCTGGTGAACTGCCCGCCTTGGCCTCCCAAAGTTCTAGGAGGCACCACACCCAGCCACACAGTAATGTTTCTAAGGGGCCAATTGGCAGCACAGATTATGGATCTATTCTCTACTCTCCCAGCGCTTTGCTCAAGCTCATGTTCTGCTTTTATAGGAGGTGGGTCTTTGCAAGCTACTGTCAGGCCTTGGCTGGGTTTCTGTAGTCTCTCAGAGGCCTCTGGCACCTGATCTTCAAACGTTATCACTTTAAACATTCACATTTCTGAATATGTGCCTCCTAAAACTACTACTCTGCCTCTAGACTTGGTCTGGAGCTGCAGCAACTTAGAACAAATGATTTATAAAGAAAATACAAAAAACTTAGTCACCTTTGCTTTTCACAAACTCTTGCGCAGGACTCCTTCATGCTCAGAGCTCCTCAGAACATTTAAACTTGGACCTGAGTGTCGAAATCCAGTATAGACACAAACGGCCAGATCACATCAACTCCATAAAATATGGTCTACCTACACTAAAATAATCCCATACGCTCATAAAATTTTAGAGATGGAGAAGACCCTAAAGTTCACAATTAAGCAAAAAGAATTTTTGGACATCTGTTATTTGCTGAGCTCCCACAGGAGAACTTTAACATACAGCTCTTAACCTCTCTGGGACTTTATAATCTGCTCATTTTGGTTGAAGAGCATTTATAAAAGAATCTGCAGCAGGGCTTAAATGTCTCGTGTAGGCTGGAAGAACTCAAGTGCTCTGAGAAGGAGAAGCCACTGGGTCAGAGTGGCTGCCCCAGGACAGGGGAGGTGAGGACCATGAGGCCGAACAGGATGCATAATGCACCTTCACATAGGCCTGCCAAGACAGCTGGCACATGCTTCCATGCTAATAGCCTCCGTGAACTCAGCTGTGGACTGGAGATGACACCACCAACCTTGCAAGGCTGCTGCAAGGACTGAGGGAGAGAAGGTGGAGGACAGCACCTGGCAAGGTGCCCGCCTCAGCCTGCATGTCGAATCAGATCCCCCTGCTCCCACTGCCCAGATTCCTAAGTCCAGTCAGGGCCTGCTCTGGGGAAGATGCCCACTCAGAGCTGGGCCTTGCAGGATGACAGAGACCGGAAGAGGTGGCATTCAGGAGAGCCATACAAGGAGAGGGGAGGACAGACGAATCATAGATACTTGAACTGGTTGGCCTCGGAAATGTTCATCGCCCATTTGCACATCTGGAGGCTCTTCCACCTGTCGAACAGCTCTGACTGCTTCACCCTGGGGAGTGGAGGACAGAAGAGTACATGAGAGGCGCAGGCAGGACATAGTGCAGTCATTCCCAAAAATGCTCCCTCCAGATCTCCCATAGGCCGAGTTGAGTCCTGGGCTGGCCGTTGGCATTGACCGTATATATTTTTTTGAGACAGGGTCTCATTCTGTTGCTTAGGCTGGAATGCAGTGTTGCGATCTCAGCAAAATGCAACCGCTGCCACTGGGGTCCCCATGCCTCAGCCTACCAAGTAGCTGGGACTACAGGTGTGCCACCATACCCAGCTAATTTTTGTTATTTTTTGGTAGTGATCGGGTTTTGCCATGTTGGCCAGGCTGGTTTCGAACTCCTGACCTCAAGGAGTCCTCCCGCCTTAGTCTCCTAAAGTGCTGGAATTACAGGTGTAAGCCACCGTGCCTGGCCGATATTTTCTTATTTTCTATATTTCTGACGCTCCGGCACCTGGCGCCTTGTTAATTCCTAGTTAGCAAACAACTGTCCTGCAAGTGTGTCTTTCCTGTTCAAACCAACCAATCGGAGCCCACACCCTTAACCACCTCCTCATTGGCAGGCCACCATCCCGCCACCTACCGCCCCCCTCACCCTAATCATCCCAGAGTCAGCTATCGGAGGACCTGAGGCAGTCCCTATGCTTCAGGGTCTGCCAGGATTATTGAAACTAGCCAATCCTAAACCTGGCTACCCTGCCTACCCTTCCTTGTCCATTCCTTCCTGCAAAACCTCAATAGTCTCACTCATGCTTTCCCCTCACTCCTACCTCCTGACTGGACCTAGGGCTACCCTGCAGGGCATGCCTCCTGTTTCAAGGGATCTGTGAATATAATGCCTTTCTTCATTATGGTCATTTTCATGTCTGCCTGTCCTACCATACCTGATTAAAACAAATCCCAGAAACATTTTGAAACCTTCTTCCTCACGTGCCCACCCCCAAGGGCCTGCATAGTTCTCTTGGGAATATCTGTCTATAAAGAGAGTCAGACCCCAGTGGAATGCCCGTCAGACACCCACACAGTTCAGCACACAGTAGGGCTCATGAGCAGCGCATGCCCTTCTCTTTCTCCCTTCTCAAGGGTGGATCACAGTTTCCAAATGACAGAAAGGATGAGATGAGAAACCTGAGACTTCCCCATGTCCCTGAACAGCCCTCGGCTAGCCTTTACGCTAGTTGGCATTTAAACATCTCAGCATCATGGCATTCAAAAGCACTTTCAGGAAAGGAAACATCTAAACCACACAGCATTCTCCCTTTGACTAAAACCTATAAAAAGAACTCATTTTTAATTTACACATTTACGTTTACTTATTTATAATTATGCATACTTATAATGATTTTCGTGCTATATCCCCAGCTTTTAGAATAGTGCTTAGCAAAATATAGATACTTGATAAATATTTATTGAGTGAATGAATTAACCCAATCAAAAATAAATTCCCGCAAACACTAACTGACCAATATGAGATCCTCACACACATCAACCTCTAATAGTCGCTCACCCTTCTCATTGGTTTCTCTCCTCTTTCAGCAGTGCCTGCCCTCAGAGCCACGTCCGCATTCCCAAGCCCTCTCTGCCACAGATCCGCCTCAGCATCTCTGTTACCTATCCCTATCTTTGGTTATTTCTTCCCCACTTCAGTCAAGAAATTGTTTCTCACATCCTGCCCAATTCCTTCCTGCTTTCACTTACACTTGATTTTGCAGGTTATTCTCCTATTCTACAGAAATGTCCAGAATTCTCTACGGTCTCAGCCTTTGGAAGTTCCAGTGAGGCCCTGGCCTGGTGAAAGCCATGAGATCCAGAAAGATCCAGAGGCTCCCCAAGCCAGGCCAGCACCCCCTCCATAAGAAAGGGATCACAAGACACATTATACAGTTGAGTGAGCCCCTCCTGATGAGCTCTAGATCTTCGGCAAAGAATCATGCACTATTTTTTAAAGAGGGATTCTATGGTCAAATATAGTTGGGGAAAGCTGAGTCAAATAAAGTTAAATGCTTTTCTTTACTGCAAGACTTTTCAGATCCCTTCATATGTTCTCATATATTGTGAATTTCCAAGAAAAGTATTGGATCACGGGACCCTTCTTCCACTGAGTAGTTCGAAAGATTGTAATTCTACAGTAACACTGGGAAATGCAGACAGATCATACACTCCTTAAAGGCAGCACCATGGTTTCTCTCTCTTGAGCATGCACAGTACCTACTTCAGGGCCAGGCATTCTGTAGCTGTCTGGGGTCACCTGGCTGTGGACCACTAAAAAGCTAACTAGTCTTGGGCACTGGTGCAGAGAGGAGCCCTTGAAAGGAAGCTATCCTAGCTTGATAATGAATGGGAAAGTGAGCTGAGTGTTACCAAGAAACTACTATCACTATGGCTCTTACCCTGGGGTCCACTGAAGGGCTAAAGGAAGTGCCTGTACCCCGAGTTACAGGCAAAACCCATGTCTATCCACCCACATGCATATCTTTGGGAAGAATCTAAAGCTTTCATCAGGTTCCTACAGGGGTCCATGCTTTCAAAAGAAGGAAACACCTACTTAAAAAACCCTTTTAGGCCAGGTGTGATGGCTCATGCCTGTAATCCCAACACTATGGGAGGCTGAGGCAGGCAGATCACTTGAGATCAGGAGTTTAAGACCAGCCTGACCAACATGGTGAAACTCCATCTCTACTAAAAATACAAAAATTAGCTGGGCATGGTGGCACATGCCTGTAATCCCAGCTATTTGGGAGGCTGAGGCAGGAGAATCACTTGAACCTGGGAGGCAAAGTTTGCAGTGAGCCGAGATCACACCATTGCACTCCAGCCTGGGCGACAGAGCAAGACTCCGTCTCAAAACAAAACCAAAAAAAACCAAAACGCTTTTTCTGAAAAGAGTTAATTTTGCAGAGCTGTGTCCCTGAGTTTAATTAGAGGTGGTAACAGTTGTCCCCAAACAGGGCAAGCCTCCCTGTTCTTTCCTACAGGAAGGATACATGGCTGGTGAGGGATGAGTGACTGCAGGAAAATTCATGGAAGATAGTGACTAAATACATGGATTTTGGAACCAGCGGGTCTTGGGCTAAGACCCAGGTCAGATACCTCCTACCTATGAGACCTCAGGCAGGTTATTTAACCTCTCTAAGCCTCAGTTTTCTCATCTATAAAATGGGTATAATAGTCTCTTGCCCTCCCAGATGTGTTAAAATAATTAAACAGGATGATGTGATAAAAGACTAGGCATGGCACCCGACACACAGAAAGCATCCAGTACATGTAAGTTTTTATTGTTAAACTGAACAGTCTTGACTTTGCTCACTCACAGCCCCCTGTACTTTCCACTTTTGTAAAACCCATGACCTATCATGACTCCTGATCTCCCCCACTAGAGAGTAAACACCATGGGGGCAGGGGCTCATGCCTGAGCTCATCACTGTAACTCCATTGCTAAGGCACATAGCAGATAAATGGGAAATATTTGTTGAGTATACCAATAAATTAATTAATTAACTGAAACATCTGGGTTCAAATCAAGTCTCACTATTTGTTGAGTATCTCCATTGGCAGGAACTAGAAATACAGTAGTGAACAAAACAACCCCTTGCTCCCGTGAAGCTTATACATCAGTTGGGGAGGAAAATGGAAAACAAAGGTACAATGCCTTGTGAGAAAGTGGTAAGTGCCAGGAAGGAAAGTAAAGCAGGATGAAGGGGCGGGGAAGTGACTCTTTCAGATTGAGTGATCAGGGAAGGCTTTCCTGAGGAGGAGAACCTTGCACAGAAACCTGAAATGACACAAAAGTGAGCTGTGCAAATATCTGGGAAAACTGTATTCCAGGCAGAGAGAAGAGTCAGTGCAAAGGCCCTGGGGCAGGAACCAGCCTGGCAGCCTTCAAGTACCAGAAGAAGCCCTCCTCCCATCCTGGCTGACAGAAGGCAAACCTTCCTTCCAGGATTCCCAAACCTCACCTCTCAGGAGCTCACAGGGTATGGGGGAGAGGTGCCATCATACAGCAACACCCTGCCCCTCCCCACTCCTTGCAACCCACAGGCCCCTAGAGCAGCTCCCTATATGGGCACTGCTTCAAATGCCTCCCAGAAACACAGCCCTGGCAATACTCCCAGTGGAGTCCCAAGCTCTACTGTTACCAGCGTCTGGGTCCTAATCTCTCTGCCTCCAATGCCTTCATTGCACCTTGGATCAAGGACAGAGCCTGGACACCCAGCCTCAAATCCTGGCTCCATCCCAATATTGCAATATAACCCCAGGCAAGTCATTTAATCTCTCTGAGACTCAGCTGCTTTATCTGTAAGATGGATATAACAGCTGTTGCCCTTCCGATCTCAAAGGTTGTCAGAGAGCTCAAATGGAATAATATGTGTAAAAAGATTTTACAAATTGCTTTACAAATGCAGAGATCATCTTTGCTTTAAAGGTGAAGGGTTGACCCCAGGCACTTCTCTCCTTTCTCCCAAGACACCACTAACATTCCAGAAGAGGACTAAAAAAGGTACAAGCCCGTAGATGAATATACTGACAGGGAAGGGCATCTCAGTGGACGAGAAATTTCAACAAGTATATGGAAGCATGATGGACTGGCACAAGGACAGGATGGCACAGCCCAAAGTACCTAGAGCCAATCTGCTTCTGGAAACTTCTAAGAGATGGGTGGAGGACAGGGATGGAGCATGGCCCTAAAAATGAGAATCAGTTGTGAGTCCATAAGCAGAACCATCAAGCCTACCCTCCTTCCGCCTCACCAAACAGCATGGCAGCCAAATGCTTAATGTCCAACAGAAGGGGAGCAGGGATGAAATCAGACTATGAGTTCCTCTGTTAAAAAGAAGGTATCATTTCTGGTTAAAATAGCTGGCTGTTCTAGCAGCAAAAGGGCCAACAGCATCATGAACAACTTCAGACACAGGGCTCCTATCCGTTTTCACTTGTTTCAAGGTTAAATATGGATAGATAGCCAAGGGTCACCTGGTCAACTTGAAGTGAGACCAAGATAA